ACGCATAAAGGCAACAGCATAGTATAAAGATAACCGTATGTCATGGCATCTACTGAATAATCAAGTAAACAGATTAAAGTAATACTTTTAAGCCTTTTCTCTAGCTACATTCTCCCTCGTGTCTTCAAAAGAGTGAGAGTGATGGACTCTGTGTGAATGCTGAGTAATTATTTGAGGATTACCATCACCTCACCTTACAGAGATGTGGCCCCTCTCAAAATCCCACAGGGCCCCTGTAACCCACACACACACACACACACACACACACACACACACACGCACAGACACGTGTTCTCAGATAGAGACGAGTGTGTGAGCTAGTGTGACCTTCATGCTGAGCTCTAGCGTTGATTTCTGATTTAGTGTCAATCCGCTGCGCTTGTCATGCCAGGCGAGGTGCTTTCCACAAGGTAATAGAAAAACTCAAGGGCAGAGAGAGAGGGGAGGGTAGCAGGAGATGGAGGGAGATGTAACTCCCTGTTGAAAAAACCAGCATATGGTTTTTTAAAACCAGCAAAGGACCAGTTTAAACCAGCAAAGGACCAGCATATGCTGGTTTTTTCAACAGGGCTATCTGAACAACGTGCAAAGAAACAACAGAACAGTCAAAATGCAAGATAAATTAAAGTAAGGATGAAGAAAAATGTGACCATTAAAAGTAAATTTACATTTCCTGAGGAAAATGCAAATGTTGCCAGGCAGCAAAAATCGTTACAGTTTTAAGAAAAAGTAAATATTATTATTATTATTATTATCATTATTATAAAACTCAGCAATATACTATAAAAATAGATAAATAAATGTAAAAACGTAAAGACCAATCATAAAGAATAATAAAGGAGATCAACTAAGGACGATAACTATACAACGAGAAAGATAGCTAAGTTTGAATTATTTCCTAATTATAATTGATACGTCCACAGCTATTAGGATTAGGACACCTAGCAACAATATCCTTTAAATCACTTCTGAACTTAAAGACAACAAAAATAACGACTTTATTCAACAATTGCTTCTCCTCCGTGTCATTATCCGCTGTGCGATCAGAAGAGCACCACGACGCATGCGTGTAGCGCTGCTGACGCAGGAGCCGCGTTCTGACATAGAAACCGGATGTGCTGCGCCTTGTTTTCAGTCAGAGGAATATGCAAGTGGTACTCTTGCAGACTCCGGTGGAGGCTGGAAGAGAAGAATTGTTTAATAAAGTCGTTTTTTTTTTGCGCACAAAAAGTATTCTCGTAGCTTCATAACATTACGGTTGATACAATGCTGCTATGAAAATTACATTTTATGTTCACAAATATATAAAACACACAGCATCTGGTCATTATAGTGGCATCATGTTAGACATGAACAGTGGCATACCTTCTAATTTCTGACTCAACATATTCACTGTTCTCAGTTCAGAGAGAGAACAGGACACAAGGAAGATCATCCTACTCTCTCTCTCATTTCTTCTCCTCTCCTCTCTGCTTCTGTCCATCCGGCGAGAGAAAAATAGATGGTTATTCTAAAAGGTGCTGATTTCAGCTATAAACTGTAGGGGGAATGCGTGTGATGTTCAATAAGGCTTTCCCATACAGAGACGGAGTAGAGAAGACAAACTCGTTTATGAGCAACACACAACCCTGTCCTCCTGTATTACTCGCACACTAAATTCTGCTTTATACACACACAAACTACAGCAACACTTCAGGGGATTTGTGTGTAGTGTGTGTTTTTCGCCTACCAAGCAAATGCAGGTGCAAATCTAGACTTTAAATCACTGTTGCCCGTGCATTTCTGAAAATAGCATGAGCTCAACATCTTAAACCAACAAGCAATTCTCTAGCAACCATTAATACAATAGCAACTGCATAGCAACATCCTGGCAACCACCTACAACAATATGAATATGGGTAATATGAATGAAATTCGAACATAGTACATCCACTATGTTGTTACTATCACATGATCTGCCAGCATCAATTGCATCGTTGCATTGCCATTCATAAATCCTCTACCATGGCCTCATGGGAGAGTAAAGTGTCAATCGAATGCATACTTCAGAATTTGGGCGGAAGTACTATGTCATCTTTTTGCCTACTGCTTTTTGAATACTATGAATTTGGACATACTACCCTTTTTCACATACTATATAGTAGGGAAGTATTCAATTTTGCATTCAGCAATAGTATTCGAAAAAACAGTAGGCAAAAAAAGTACCCGGATGACCTACTACTTTGGCCGAAATTCTCGAGTGCGCATTCGATGGACACTTTACAGAGTCATGCAACTTGGCGGAAGTATGTCCGAATTTCAGTCATATTGCCTATATTCATAAGGTGCATCACAAATCATGTGCTAATGCACTATTCTAGATGTTTTGTAGTATAAATCATGGGAGTAGCGTGTTCACACTGAAAATTCCACTTTAAATACCTGGATGCTGCACTTAAATAACCAAAAAAACGAAGTGTGGAATGTTGAATACTTCATGCACTCAACTGTCGCAGCTTTAATTACGTTGTGAAGGGGAAGGGGCTATCAGACTCTGATTATTAATGACAAAATAACCTTATAAAATTCATACACTACATGGTTGAGTACTCAGGACCATCCTTTGGGTGGTGCAACTGGTGTGGTCACACCGGGCCCCACACTTTGATGGGGCCCTGTGGCGGACAGAACGTGATCACGAACGGACCGAGGGGGACTCCTAAAGAGTCAGCTAAGGACGGCCCTGCTACATAGTGCATAAGTACATAGTGTATAAGTGCATAGTATATAGTGCGTCATTTGGGACACAGTTAAATTACATAGAATGTACATTTTTTTAATGGTTGCGATGTTTCAAACTAAATGTAGTACCTACTACACAGTATGTGATTTTGGATGCAGTGTGTTATTGTGTCCAGCTGTGATAAAACAACTGTATTTTTGTTGCTTCTCATTTCCATGGCAGAAAATTTTATATATATATATATATATTTTGTCAGTCTTGTGTGTGTGTGTGTGTGTGTGTGTGTGTGTGTATTGAAATACAGTGGGTACGGAAAGTATTCAGACCCCCTTAAATTTTTCACTCTTTGTTATATTGCAGCCATTTGCTAAAGGGGGTCTGAATACTTTCCGTACCCACTGTATATATTTTATATTGATATTCCGTCTATTTCATGCACTGGAAATGGAATTTCAAGATGAGCACATTGCATTTTGGGATACATTACCCAATACGTTTGCAATGTTTGCAGGTTGCATAGTATGCATAGTATACTTACTAAATTATTCAGAAAGGGCGAGAGTATAGACCATTCCAGTTTAAAGAACCAATTTTGCATTGTTTTACTGTTTCGATATGTGATTTGCTGAACTTATTTTATTGTATTTAAGGAAAACAGAGCGGTGCAGATTTTAAGAGCTGTTATTGAGGCAAGACTTCTGCAACCACCTTGAAATTAGACTTAGCCTACACATCTGCATATACAATCATATGTTTTATCTGTTATAGAGAATATTTGCTGACTTGCACGCGCATATATTCTCCAAGCTATGCTACATGTTTTTAATGATGTCTTAATGTTTCAATTCTAGCATGTAACCCTGTAACCTCAGCTTTATATTCTCTCTCTTAACTGCATGCCTGTAGTCTCTCTCTCACACGCGCACGCACACACATTTTATGCCTGGAACATTAATGAGTTCGCATTCATAACCAAGACAGAGAGAGCTATATTCACCCTCCGATGCTTTATTGACTGATTTCATTTATTTGCAGGAGATGGATTGGAGGTAAGCAGGCGGCCTCCTCGCGGCTCTGTCGCGCAATGCATTGTGGAGGGTCAGCGTGTGACAAATTAGTTAACGAGGAACGGCCTTCGCATTTCCACAAACTAATTAACCCGGCAGGTACTGAGACAAATTATAATATTTATGTAATATCATCTCGCATCTGTTTGCAAGGAGCACATCCGTACGTATCACCTGATCTCTCTTTTAGACGTGCGTCTCACTTATTACACGTTCAAACAAGCAGTAGAACCATTTCTATTTTATAAATATGATTCTTGATTTTTAAACAATGACTGGATGATTGCATAGCTCAGGCAGTGTTGATACAATGCCTCATGCCTTCGCTTTTAACCTCATATAGGCTCATTTTTGGCCACAACACAAGGTAGGCTATAGAAGATTTGATTTTTCATAACTATAAGCGTATATAACAACGCTCTTGAATTATGATTTAATAACCAAATGTAATTAAATTCATAGAGATAATTCCAATATACATGATCATAAATATGCGTCTGGGAATTAAATCAATCCCTTTTATTACCTATTCTGTTATTATTATTATGTTAGAAGCTAAAAATATATTTAAGTTTACATATAGGCCTAAGTAAAATGGCTCAATAAAAAATCCCTTGATTTTATTATGGATGTATGAATTATAAATGATTTCATCCAGCAGTTATTGCGCCATATATAGCCTACATGATTGTGGTATTATCGCAGTGGTCTGGAAGACAGACAGTGATGGCGCGCTCTTGATATTGTATTTGGCTGAGCCCTGATTTCTCATCTATGAGGGCATAATGCCAAGAGCCCGAGAGCCAATCAGAGAGCGAGTTAATGTCAACCCCTGCAACATCTCCAAACGAGAAGAAAAACTCGATTTGATAACACTTAATAATCATTTTCAATAATAAGCCATTAGCAGATTATAATGCAGATCAGTAGTTCGTATACATTCCAAAATGATTAAAAAATATATGAAAATAGAGGTTTTGTTAGTTGAATTTGAATGTAAAATAGGCCTGTTAAACATTGGACTATAAGTTAAAATAAAGTGTTACCTATTTATCAATCAACAAATAAATAAATAAAGTTTTATATTCCTCACAGAATTCCCAAGGAACAACAAAAGATGCGAGGTGTCAATAATGACATATTGAAAATGATTTTATTCGTTCATTTACATTCAATCGTTATAAACATGTTCAGGAAACAAAACAGCCGTTAAGAATAAGATCAAACATTTAAGTAATGTATATTGGTATAAGCACATACATGAACTTAGAACATATCACAAACTGACCGAATGGGAACAAGTTAAGAATGCTTCATCTACACAAAACATCCTATATATAACAGCATATAACAAAGTCATACTTTTCTTTTAAATGACATTTCCCCGTTGTTGTTGTTGTTGTGTTGTTGTTTACCCTGGTCGGCACATGCAGTCAAGTTTCTTAATTCTTTTTGAGATATTTTCCTTTCTTTCTTCCACCGATTCATAAAAGTGTCCTAAAATTTGAACGATTTCTTCCATAATAATAATGATGATGATCATAATAATAAAAACGAGTGCACCGTCTCTCGCCTTGTTTCTCAAATTGCAAATGTGCAGATTGTTTTCTGTCCAGCTTGTTGACATTTTTGAATTTGCAAAACGAAAGTGCTAATAAATAAAGATTCAATTATTAAATAAATAGGACATAATAAATAAATACATTTCGTTTTTTTCAGCCTATGATGCTTTAGGTTTTATTTCCATCAGGTGCGCACAGTTCATGTTTACTACAGGACAGTCGTAGGCCTATCCTTAGACTTCCTTGTGCGTCACTGGGCCAGAAATGATGGGTGGACGAGAAACACGTCAAAGTATTAGGTGAAACTCATGGACACTGTGTGCTCCAGCGCTTTGCGGCGCAGGGACGCGATGCTCGTCCCTCTCCAGACGTCAGTGTCCGGGGAGCTACACAGCTGAGGCGAGCCGGTCACGTTGGTGGGGCCAGAGAGCGACGCGGACACCATGCCGGGGAAGGTGGGTTGGTAGAGGTGGGACTGGAGGCCGGAGCCGTTGGAGGACATGTTGGACAGGCTCATGGAGTTGTGCGGCGGTCCGGCGCCCAGGCTGCACTGGGATAGAGACTGTGCCATGGCTTGTTGTCGGCCTAGGGCGGGCGGTAACTGCAGCTGGGAGACTCCCGGCATCCCGGCCGCCGCCCAGCGGGTGTCATTAGCGTGAAAAGAGCACAGGCTGTCGCCCATGGCTGCCGCGGCCGCCGCGGCGGAGGGGAACTGCGGTAGGCCGTGGTGAGTGGGCAGCAAAGTGCCGGGAGTGCGAAACACGTTGGTGGTCTTCTTGCGCTTCTTCCATTTGGCGCGTCGGTTCTGAAACCAAACCTGCGAGCAGAGGGAACAAAACGAGCTGTCAGAAATGCTTACATTGCGCTAGAATAGATGTAAAAGTGGGCATTTAATAAGGAAGTTTAATAAAACAGCAATGTCGAATATTGCTCATTGGGACATTTTGTGATGTATTAGTGTTTTTGGTATCTTTTACGTTCACTAAAATAAAACAGACAATAAATATATACTCATTCTAAAATAAACACTACATTGTGTGTGTTTTTTGAAACCAGAGCCTAAAGTTCTTGATGTCACATTATAGATTCTTAAGAATCAATCAATATTTTGGTTTCTTGGTTCTATACAACGAATTGTTCTAAGGATGCTAAAGAAATAGGCGATAGATGTCAAACATATATAAGCTGCACAAAAGAAAAATACAGATGAACAAAAATATGAGCAGAAATAGCCTACACTTAACACAATAGAAACATACTATTGATGCATTGTTTGTTTGTTTGCATAAAAAATATAGTAACTTTAAATTGGTAACATCTCAATTAAATAGTTTTATTCAAGTACAAAAAAAATGCTATTTAATATCAGTGAATCAACCTAAATACTTCTATTTCACAGATTTGATATAATTGACTATTCAATTTACACTGTAGGGTTAGAGCAGATTATTGGAGTAAGTGAAAATGCTATTTTAGTTTTTCTATTTTAAAAATGTCATGTTTAATTCAATGTGTTAATTGCCGTTTCTTTGTAATTACAATTAACAAACAAAATATTTTATGGGATAAATTAGCAAGAAATAGCTATTGCAGGTTGCCACTTCAGACTTCAGACTACAAACATTTTTTATTTTCATATTTTTGTTTGTTTTCATTTTGCTTCTTTCCTTAATAAACGTCTCGACATCACAAAATGGCGCGATTAATGCTGCTTTAAATGATAAGGAATCATAATATTTACACTCTCCATTATTATGTGCTCGATTTTACAACACCAGGGCGTAAAAGGCGCACATGGTGTTTATTTCCCGAGGTCCTTCAGGTTTATAGAGATCTCAGGCGAGCTCACAATGATTAACGAGTAGATTTTGACCCAACGAAAAGCGGAGAAAAAATGTGGAGGGGTTCATATTAGATCCCCGAATCCCACTCCACGCAGCCAGCCGTGAAATCCGGCCTCAAATGCATTACACTTCAGAGGATAAAAAAAATGCAATTTCTCATACCATTAAAAAGAGACAGAGCTCGCCATTAAGACGTGCGCGCTGACAGATCTATTTCACGCGAGCGCGAAACATTCGTGCAACATTTCAGGAGATCACCGCGCGGTCAGCATGCCACTCATTTATTTTTTATGTAAATAAAATAGTTGGGGCAGAGTCTCAGGCCTGCTAATTATGATGGTTATTATTTTACGCAGAATAGTCTTACGCATTGAGCTTAATAAGCCTGTTAAGTTATAAATAATTCTGAAATTGGTTAATAATAATGGTCTTGGTTTTATTGCACTATCAACTCGGAAAGCTATACATATATAATGCGCCTCTATAGATCACGGAGAGAGCGCTGGAATGCACACTTGTCTCGCGGGTTCATTTACCGCTGCATTCGCGGCTGACCACCAATCACAGCAGCAGCACGAGTCATAATCTTATAAAAGTGATTAAGATATCGGTCTGCTCCGATGGCTGAGATAACAGTAATGGTATTGTAAAAGGAAGATGACCTGAACAATAAAATAATCATGAGAAGCGCGCCGCGTTTTAAATGGTCGCACTTTCAAGAGCCAAGAAAATCAACATAACCTGAATCAAATACAAATAGGCCTATAGTAACAGCAGTAATTATATATTATTATAATACTAAAACAAAACAAATAAAACCTATATGGTGGTAGTGCTTAAAGCTTTACGGAGGCGTTGGATAAACACGATTTTAGCATCAACGAGCAAATTAGTAAGATTGGGATTCATATAATGTTTGTGTTATCTGTAACTAAAAATGAAAAAATAAATAAATATGCTACTAATAATAAAAATAATACACAGGACATGCTTTTTCGTTTAAAACACCATGGATTTTTACACTTAATTTTAATATGAGTTTAACAGTTTTGTAGTCTTTATTTATAATTGATTTATTTTCTTGTTTTTATTGACGATAGAGCTCGTTCGGAGATGTTTTCACAGTTTTATTTTTATGCAATTATTTTTGTGCTCGTGTACTGTCGACAAGCTTTACATTTCGGCTCATCGTGTAAGCAAACAGAAATGCACATTCTCAATACTTTATAATAAAAATAGGCTGGTCTTCTTAAAATTAAATTATAACGCGTTTTCATTTCGTTATCTCTTAGACTTCGTATTTTTAATAACAAACATTAGTATTCGAAAAACCTTTGTAACAAATATCTAGCCAAATGATCTACCTAACTATTCCTTTGGAATGCCATTTATAGAAAATATAATCCGAATAATAATAATAATAATAATATATTGCTTTAAATGTATCGATTCACCTTTTTTAATTTCAAACATCATGATTGCAGCCTATAATAACGCTTAATATTTTATGAAAATATCCCATATATAGGCTATTGCGCAGGATTAATACAATGTTAACGTCGATTTAACAATAATGATGTGAATAAAACAATCCGAAACATGTGCTGATGATCGGTCTCCACCGGACTCACCTGCACGCGTGATTCCGTCAGGCCGATCCGCAGCGCGAGCTCCTCGCGCATGAAGATGTCCGGATAGTGGGTTTTGGCGAAGCTGCGTTCCAGCTCGTTAAGCTGAGCCGGAGTAAAGCGAGTCCGGTGCCGTTTCTGTTTCTGACTCTGCTGGCCGCCGGACTGGCTGGGGTTCTGTTGCTGCTGCTGTTGCTTCTCCTGATCCTTACTGTTCACCGCTACACCCGGCGGATTGGATCCAGCACTGTTGATATCGTCTCCGGGGAGAAGGGTGGCCCCTTCCACTGCATCGGAGACCGGGGCGAGTTCTCCGGGGTGGCCCGGGTCAGTTCCGCCGCCGCCCAGCCTGCATTTCAATGCCTCCCTGTGACCCAGAAGCTCGGCCGCGGCATCCTTCATCCCTGAAGCAGAGAAAACAGGTCGAAACTGAGTGAGCTCATAATCAACACCGAGCATTGCTGAAAAAGAGAGAAGTGTTAGTGCAAAAGATCACATTTCTAGACAGTCACAGCAAGCATTGGTCTTATGCATAAACTACCATTTGCTATTTGCCATTACAGCTATAAAGTGCAAATACTAGCTCACATCAATGTCATCTTTTAAAATACCTAATTCCATTTAAATCCCCTCAATATCTTGGAAAACGGCTAAATCAAATTACTGCGTAATATAATAATAATGATTACTTTTCCAATGAATTAGTTCGCTTAAATCGAATTAAGATAAAATAAGAGACAAATTGTCAATTTTCTCTGCTTGATTTAGATGAAAAGAGTCCTCCAGCTTACAGTAGAGTTGCAGACCGGAGTTTGGCGTTGATAACTCACCGAGGCGAGCATCCAGCAGGTCGGCGTGCGAAAGCATCGCGCACCGCTCCAGGGCGAAATGCTTTCCCAAAAAAATCTCTATGACTTTAAACTATTTAAAAAATATATATGGCCTAAATGAAAGCAAATTCGGTTTGTGGTTAAAAAGGAGGTTCCTTGCATTATAATGTCCTTTAGAGGAACTGGGAGGCGCTTAATGGTTGAATGAACCCATGAGCTCCTTCAAATGAGAGCCAATCAGCGTTGAAGCCTGGAGGTGTCAGATGCGCGAGAGACTCTCTTGCTGCCCTCCCAAGTTCATTTCTCCTCGTTTTTGATCCCGACTCCCAAATTATAACCTTTCAAATGACCTCTTTCAGAAAGCTCTTCGAGAAACTCCCTCAGAACTGGTTTAATTGAGCGTGATGCCAGAATCATTGATGGGGCCCTGATTATTTGAGGAGAAACAGAGAATTAAAGTATTGTTATATAAACGTGTCATCCTTATCAAAGCCATATGGTTTAGTAATGGCTTCCCGAAGTTTATTACTGGACTGAACGATTAAACCGCGCTCTCTCTTTATGATACGAACTCATTTGATTTGCTTGGGTTTTACGCGCGTCCATTAGATTAAAAAAAAAAAATCGCCAGCGGGTTTCGCGGTTTAATTATAAAGTTCCCCGAGATTTTCCACTATTGTCACTTAATCGTTAGTTATAATTTCGCGTTTCCTCGTAGAAAAAAAGGCGGCCTTCGTGTCGTGCCATGTCCAACTCTCGCCTTTTGAAAACGAAGTGAACCTCTTCTAATGTTTCTAGTAGCCCGGGGCAGCCAACAACAAAGTTTAGATTAGCCCTATATCTCAAACCAGGGTAATTTTCAACATCATTAGGCTTTTATGTAATTAGTGCCAAATCTATAAGCTTTTTATTACGATTATTAGCGAGATCAGTATAAATTAGGGCTGATTTAGTAGTGTTTAGGCCCGACTGTCACGGCGGGAGGAACTTGGAGTAAATGATATGTGAGCAAATTAGGTGCATAATTCGGTGGAAAGTCAGAGTCAGAAATGGGCTTCCAGGGCTGATGCGCGCAGACACAGGGAAGCCCCCACCGAAGCAAGGGGGTGGGGGAGTGCGAGGACTTTCGTACCAAAATAGATACATTTAGACTTTAAACACTCTACACTAACAAATTGTATTCGTTGCATTGATTTTTCATCCAATTGACCCAAATTAACTTGATTTATTTCATGCAAAGAACACTGTGCAGCCCGTCTAACCACCAATAAACCTGCATTTACACCAATTAACACAATAGCTTTTGTCACGCGCGAAGCCGATGAAAAATATCAGACAACCAGCGCAAACAGACTCTAAGCAGATGTCAGTGGGATGGTTTAAAGAACTCCTTTATTTGCAAGAGTGAATGGTGTCTTTTCAGCGCGCACAAAGGACGCGTCCGAGCGAGAAACATTCCACTTTTTTCGACAAGCCACCAATCTGCTGGTAAGAACAAGAGCGCTCGCTTCCAGACGCCGGGTCAGATGCGACTCTTGACTCGCCGGGGAAATGTATATGCCTCGCTGAAAATGAGGAAAGGAAGAGAGTGCGGATTCAATTTGGAAACAATTGTTCTTGCGCTGCGTTTTGATATCCGAAATGTCAGAGAAGGCGAGCGAGGCACCGGGCGCGTAATGGAAGATCTCGGGTTTGTGTTCATCTCACACTTTGCTTTTGGCCAGGAAATAGACTGGGGCTTTTTGAATTGGGATGTGGATGTGGCTTTATACCAGAGACGTAAATATAAATCGAACGCGGTTGTGTTGTTTTATCTTGCTGGAGTTGTAATAATTTTATCCCACACGCTTAAAAAATAAAGGTTCTTCGGTTGTTCTATTCAAACAACTCCAACTTGAATTGTTTAGAGATGCTTCTTTGGAGACGTCAAACGAATTCTAGTCTTTTTCGTTTACAGATTCTAAAAGACTACAAAACAAAAGTGCCTTAAAATCACCTTCTCCAACGATAAGTTCTGGTTCTAAGTGGAACCTTTATTTTAATTTTTTTAAATGTGTACGATTGGATATTATTCACATACATGAACTCACGTTTGTATTGTTCTCACGTATCGCAGCAAGAAAATCAACTGCATTACCTCAACAATAACGATCATGTGAAATCATTACATTGTTTGTTCTGAAACAGTTGCCGCGTGATTGATAGCGCGCTTCATTTTACGACTTTTCAATAGCTCGATCCTTTTCTAGCTGCACAAACAGAAGTGAATCACTCTTCTGGAGGCACGCGGTCATATTTAACGGACTAAAAGTGCGACAGACGCCTAACGATGCTTTCAAGGGGACATATGAATGAAGGACTGCCCTGCACTTCATAAAATATGAACAAATATAGTGTGCAAGCTGTGACCCTCAATTAATATTTGCAAGAGTGAATGGTGTCTTTTCAGCGCGCACAAAGGACGCGTCCGAGCGAGAAACATTCCACTTTTTTCGACAAGCCACCAATCTGCTGGTAAGAACAAGAGCGCTCGCTTCCAGACGCCGGGTCAGATGCGACTCTTGACTCGCCGGGGAAATGTATATGCCTCGCTGAAAATGAGGAAAGGAAGAGAGTGCGGATTCAATTTGGAAACAATTGTTCTTGCGCTGCGTTTTGATATCCGAAATGTCAGAGAAGGCGAGCGAGGCACCGGGCGCGTAATGGAAGATCTCGGGTTTGTGTTCATCTCACACTTTGCTTTTGGCCAGGAAATAGACTGGGGCTTTTTGAATTGGGATGTGGATGTGGCTTTATACCAGAGACGTAAATATAAATCGAACGCGGTTGTGTTGTTTTATCTTGCTGGAGTTGTAATAATTTTATCCCACACGCTTAAAAAATAAAGGTTCTTCGGTTGTTCTATTCAAACAACTCCAACTTGAATTGTTTAGAGATGCTTCTTTGGAGACGTCAAACGAATTCTAGTCTTTTTCGTTTACAGATTCTAAAAGACTACAAAACAAAAGTGCCTTAAAATCACCTTCTCCAACGATAAGTTCTGGTTCTAAGTGGAACCTTTATTTTAATTTTTTTAAATGTGTACGATTGGATATTATTCACATACATGAACTCACGTTTGTATTGTTCTCACGTATCGCAGCAAGAAAATCAACTGCATTACCTCAACAATAACGATCGTGTGAAATCATTACATTGTTTGTTCTGAAACAGTTGCCGCGTGATTGATAGCGCGCTTCATTTTACGACTTTTCAATAGCTCGATCCTTTTCTAGCTGCACAAACAGAAGTGAATCACTCTTCTGGAGGCACGCGGTCATATTTAACGGACTAAAAGTGCGACAGACGCCTAACGATGCTTTCAAGGGGACATATGAATGAAGGACTGCCCTGCACTTCATAAAATATGAACAAATATAGTGTGCAAGCTGTGACCCTCAATTAAAATTCTTATATCGCCTTACTGCTTGCTTTTGTCTTTATTCGGCTGAAAGGGGATTTTTTTTTGCGCCTCGGATCAAGTGTTTTTTTTCCCTAATAAATATGTTTTAGATTGTTGCACACAAACGGAGCAAGGGCTGAAAACTGGCTGGCTGGAAATACATTGGCTTGCTCTAATGCAATTCATTACGTCTGTTTACCTCGTACAAAATGTACAGATTGAATTTCTGTACACCAATACCCGGCCTGCATCCAGCAAGGGGATTTCAAGCTTTATTTGTGAAAGGCGAAGCGAAGCAAAACATTTTATTAAATGCATTTGAGGGGGATACACAACTGTTTCCTGACCTCACCAGTAATGAAAAAGAAAAGAAAACAAGAATCTCTAGGTCCTCTGAGCTGCAGCAAAAGGCGGTGATCACAACTAAAGTTCAGGAATCAATACAAAAAAAGCTATAAAACAAAACGCATAGCCTACGACCAGCACAGTACTTATTAAGTATTAACAAAACGTGTAATAATGCAAATAATAATAATATTTATTATGTATTTTCACTATGGTGTATACAACATGCACACGAAAAACAGCTAATAATGTAAATATAACCACTAATAATATTTGTAATTGTATCACCAAACAATTAGGCCAACAAACAGAATCAGATAACTTTTTTAAATAATTGAAAATAATTTTTCCACGTTTTCCTTCAAAAAACATTAAAATACGTTCAAAACATTTGGCAAATTGAAGTGAAGTTAAAACAAACATACGTTTACTACACTATGCACTGACCTCATAATATTTAAGTTAAAACAGTAATAATACTATTTTAATAACTTTAATATAGACCTATATATATATATATATAATATGTCATGTTATAATAATAACAAAAGCTTCTATGGATACATTTGTCTGAAGTTAAAACGCACTAACCTCGTAATATTTAACAGTTATAACAACACTATTTTTATTACTTTAATATACATAATATGTAATGTCTATAAAAATAATGGTAGTAGTAACACATTTATAATATTTACTCATTTTCTAAGATGAAAGGTATGTTATAAGTCCTTTGCGCGCAGGGATTACAGAAGTTATGCATCAGTGATACTGTGTGCGTCACGAGAGAGAGAGAGGAAGAGAGAGAGAAGGAGGGTAATTTGGGAAGTGATTCAGAAGCAAAGCTGAGTTGCATCTTTCTCTCCCACCAGATAGCGATAACAAGCTCGCATCAATCTTACACTGCATATAAATAAAAATAGACAAACAAACAAACTCGCGCCCTGCAAGTTAATGCGGCGCATCTGAGTGGAAAGTAGACATTTTCACGCGCTCTGGAGATGAGGAGTGACTTTTAATAAAATCACAAGAAAAACAAATGTAATTCTGAACGCGGTCTGGAGCTGAGAGAATTCTGCTCCCGGGATTGTCAGCGAGGCTTTTGTTTGACTGTCACCATCTCATGGCCTTCATATCCACCATCACATCTGTCCCACACGCGCACTGACATGCAGGACACATTTCCACACATACATGATTTTGCTTCTCCACCAGCACACAAACACGTTTCAATTCAATGCCAATTATAAATACAGACTAACAATCACTAACCCTAACAATTGCGCAAAAGGAAGCATTTTATATAAAAAATATATAGCCTACTTTATATTATATGATTATACTTATTATATCACATATATGATGACCTATATTACAAAAAATAAATTATTTACTCTTCTCCCGAATTGACTTTTGACTCCCGATTACTATAAAATAAAACAATCATATAAAACTAAACAATAAAACCAACCTCGAAGTCATTCAACATTAAAAAGTGGTGCACGAAAAAAATAAGTTT